TTTTGGGTATGTTTTATAATTTAAACATTTGTGCAGCAGTACAGGTATATAATTTGTCAATAAAAATATAGAAATAGATAAAGTTACTGAAAAAATACTTTTTTGAGAAGCTGTATGACTTAAAACATTTAAAATGTGCCTAGGATGTAGAAAGTTGGAAAGACTGATGATATTCCTATCTTAAAAAGAAAAACCAAAATAATCTAAAAAAAAATCATAGCATTTATTGAGCCCATTAGAGAGCTGAGGTAATAGGACAACAGACTAACATGAGATGTAAAGAAAAAAATCTAAGGGAAAATCTAAGGTTCTCTTCAAGGACATATGGAATTCAAGACCTGGCACATCTTTGGCAAAGCAATGGAGGATGCCATACCAGATACCACAGAAGCAAGTATGAAAGACTGAGATAATTTTAAAAAAAGCATATTGATAAAGGCCAAATCTGGACTAATAAGAGAGCAAAGAAGCCCTGAAAGTCACAGACCCAAAACACTCTCTTACAGGCTTTTTTTTTCATGGACTTTACTAGTCGTTTATGAGAAAGACTGTAGGCAGGATGGGAAATGAGAGAATGCACTCCTTGGTAGTGCAGGCTGGAGGACAGCAGCAGCTACCACTATGAGAAAAGACTAAAACTCCACCTTGCCCCATGTTTCCTAAGTAACAAAAGTCTTACATTGCCAGTAGAAGGGCTTCGAACACTGTCACGTCTAGGGCACAGGTAAAGATCCACTGCTGTGGGGGAAAGGGAAAGAAAAAAACCCTCCACCACTGGAAGTGGGATTGGAGACTGTTATGGAAATCAGAAAATAATGGATGGGTATTTTCAAAGTGCTGAAATAAAAATACCGTAAATGCAAAATTCTATATCCAGTCAAAATAAAATATTTTTCAAAAATGAAGGAGAATAAGGAGTTTTTGAGGCAAAGAAAAGCAGAACTTTTGGTAACAGCATATCAGTTCTACATACAGTGTTAAAATATGGTTTTCTGGCAAACTGATTATGACACAAGGGAGAAAGCTGGATTTACACAAAGAAATGAAGATCCCTGGAAATGGTTAAAATGAAGATGAATACAAAAGACATATTTTTTATCTTATCCATATTAATTCTAAATAATTGATTAGTCAAATAAAAAATAATGGCAAGGTATTGTGAGTTAATAGCATAGGTGAAAATAAAATGTGTGACAATAGCACAAAATATGGGAGGAAGGGGTTGAGAGTACACTGTTGTAAGATTCTTACACTATACATGATGTGGCATTATATTGTTTGAAAATAGACTGTGATTACTTAAAGTTGTATGCTGTCAATCCTAGGGTAATCACTGGAAAACTTAAAATGAGTTATAAGTCAATAGTGGAGATAAAATGGAATCCTGGAAACATAAAGTACCTACAATAAATCCAAAAGCAAAAAGTAAGAAAAGGAAAAACAAACAACAGATGGAACATATAGAAAAAAGGAGGAAGATGATAGATTGCAATCCAACCAGAGTAATGATCATATTAAATGTAAATGGTCTAAAAATACCAATTAAAGCACAGGGATTGTCAGATTGTACAAAAAAAGCAACATGAACTATATATATATGTATATATATATAATCTACAAGAAAGCCAATTTAAATATAGAAACAATCTAAATGTAAAAACATAATAGGTTAAAAGTAAAAATTATAGAAAATATATACAATACAAACACCAGTCCAAAAAACAAACAAAAAGCAAAAAGCTGGAGTGTTTATATGACTATCAGACAGAGAGACATTACATAATGAAAAGGGATTATTTCATCAAGAAGATATAACGATCCTAAGTATTTGGGCAGTAAGCAAAAGAGATTAAAAATACATGAAGCAAAATGAATATAATTAAAAGGAGAAATAGATTAATCCTCAAAATATACTTGAAGACTTCAACACTGCCTCCTCAATAGTGGATAGAAATAGATAGAAAATCATTGACAATTTGGAAAACGTGGGCAATATTACCTGACTAATACACTGTCAACTTAAGCTAATTGACATTTTTGACTACTCAACAACACAGAATCAACATTCTTCTCAAGTACACATGAAACATTCACCATGATAGGCCATATTCTGGACATAAAACACTCCTCAACAAATTTAAAGAACTGAAATCACACAAAATATATTCTGTATATATACTTAGTAGTCAAAGAGTGAATGATCTGCCCCGAAGTTCAGGGACAAGGCAAGGATGCGTCCTCTTATGACTCTTGTTGAATACTGTACTGAATGCACTAGCAAAGGTAATAAGGCAAGAAAGATAATTAAAAGACATACAGAATGGAAACATAGAAATAAGTGTTTTTATTCATAGTATTGTTTATGGAGAAAATCTCACATAATCTACAAAAATTTTACTATACTAACTAGTGAATTTAACAAAGTTGTAAAATGCAAAGTTGATATGCAAAAACCAGTTGTATTTCTGCATATTGCAACAAACAGATTGGAAATCAAAAATTTAAAATATCATTCACAATAACACCAACAATTATGAAATACTTAGGTAGAAATCTAACAAAGTACGTGTGATATCTGTATACAAAAACATTCAAAACCCTGATGAAAAAAATCAAAGATGACCTAAATAGAGAGATATATCATGTCCATGGACTGAAAGACTTGATATTAAGACATCCCCCTCCCCAAGATTAAGCTAAAAATTCAACACAATCATAATCAAAATTCCAGCAGGATTTTTTTTCCAGGAATGCACAAGCTAGTTGTTAAATCTGTATAAAAATGCAAAAGAATCAGAGTATCCAAAAGAATTAAAAATAACACAGTTGAAGAACTCACACTACCTGATCTCAAGACTTACTATAAAACTGCACTAATCAAGACAGTGTGATATTGGAAAAGCATAGACACCTATGTTAAAGGAATAGAAAGCCATTCTTTTCCACAAATAATGCTGGAACAATTAGGATATCCATAAGCAGTAAATTGAACTTAAACAATACTTTGCACAAATACAAAAGTTAATTCAAAATAGGTCATAATCCTTTAAAAACACTAAAATTATAAAATTTTGTACAAAAACATAGGAAATGTATGTGACTTTGACAGTTTTTAGATATGACATTAAAAGCACAATTCATAAAAGAATTAACTGACAAATTGAACTTCATCAAAATTGTAAGTTTCTGTTCATCAAAATACACTGAAAGATATAAAAAGAATAAAAAGGCATGCTTTTTATTTGCAAAACACATCTGATAAAGGACTTCTATCCAGAATATGTTAAGAACTCTCAAACTTCAATAATAAACCCGGTACAAATTAGCAAGAGATTTGAACAGATATATTTGCCAAAGAGTACCAACGATGGCAGATAAACACCTGATAACGTGTTCAATATCATTTGTCATTAGAGAAATGCAAATTAAAACCACAATGAGATACCATTACACAACCACTAGAACAGCTTAAAAGAAGCAAACAGAAAACGACTTACCAGTACAAAATACAGAGCAACCAAATCTCATGTATAGTGCTATTCGGAATGCAAAGTGGTCTGGTCACTTGGGAAAATACTTTGGAAGTATCTTATAAAGTTAAATATATGACCTAGTGACACATATACCATGTGACCTAGTAATCCTACTCCTAGGTATTTATCCAAGAGAAATCAGATCTTAAGTTTACACAGAACACTGTACGCAAATGCTTAAAATGGCTTTATTTATAAATGCCAAAAATTGGAAACAACCTAAATATCCTCCAACAAGTAAATGGATAAAGAAAATATGGTACCTCCATAGAAGAGACTCAACAATAAAATGGAACAGACACTACTAATACATGGAATGATATGGATGTATCTCAAATGCATTATGCTAAATAAAAGAAGTCAGATTCAAAAGATTGTATCCTGTGTGGTTCCATTTATGTGACATCTGGAAATGGCAAAACTATAGGGACAGAAATCAGATTAGTAGGGGAGAGGTCCTGGAGATAGCAGAGTAGGATGGTTACAGAGAGACACAAGGGAATTTTGTGAGTATAATGAGTATTTTGAGTTTGGTAATGGTTTCATAACTGTATACATTTGTCAAAACTCTTAGAAGCATCCACTAAAAATTATGAATTTTACTGTATATAAATTACACCTCAACAGTTCTGATTAAAACACACACACACACACACAGTTTAAATATCACTTGCTGTAACATGAGGTGAGTTAGTGAAACTCTTCAGCTTTCTGTTTTCTATTTATACTTTTATAAGTCTAATAAAAATAACAACATTTAAGTTTATCTTACGTTCAAGAAGAGCTGAGAAAAAAGACCAATTCTTTGGTACAGTTCTTAGATTAAAACTAAATAATCTATCAGTTCAGATTCGATTTGGAGAATATTTTCATGTTTCAGATTTCCTTTGGTTCAGAAGTTGTAAGTTTTGTTCATTTTACACTGTGACTTTAACACTTCAGTTCACGGATTGATTCCAAAAAACCTAAATATTCAGTTTCATTTTGATTAGGTGTTCATAGCTTGAACTTGTTTGAGGCTCATTATTTTGATTCAATTTGAGCTCTCATTTGTGCAAATTTTCTCAGTTAAGTAATGCTGTTAGTGAGTTTGAGGTTTATGGGCAGAGAGGTCCACAAATGTTTACTGACCTATTGGAAATAACTTTACTATTCTGAGAACTTATTATGTAGAAATAGCTTACTGGTAAGCTATATTACTTCTATCACTTGTAATTTGGAGGTGAACTCATTATCATGAGAAGATCATAGAAACACTTCCAAAAAGGATAGATAAAAGAATGCTAAAACAAAACAAAACAAAAACCCGAGTGGGCAGTGGGTGTTTCAAAATGAGGAGTTCATGAAAGGGAGCAAAGTATAAAGGATAAGAAATGAAGAGTGGCCCGCCTGAAATAATTTAAAATATGTATATCTATATGTTGGAAAATAAGTAGATGAAAATTAATTAGAACTCACTGAACCTACCTGAGCAAGAGGCTTATTCTCAAACATTGTTTCATGTTGAAAGAATTTGTCCAGCCCGTGCTCCTTGGCAATATGTTCAGATTCGTCAGAGAAGAGGACGGCATCCCCATCAAAGGCCACACGGAGCTGTGTGTCACAGTAAGCCATGTCTTTGGCTCCATCAAACATTGTTGCAGAGGCGATCCCTGGCAGACCATGGAGATTTATTAATACTCTTCTCAGGGGCGTCAGTTTCTTCTACCATTTTAATGATTAAAAAAAGAAAAAAAAAAAGGTCCTCCCAGACCTTGAAAAATTTTTTTTTCCTATCTAACCTGATGACTCAATTGCTCTTTATAACCACACATCTCAAAACAATTGTTTACACACTGCCTCCATTTCTATAATAGATGGGAAAGTGTAAAATGGGATGTAGGACAATCACTGAGAATGTCTACCTCCAAGAAGGTCAAAGCTCTAAAAGACAGATTTAGGGGCTGCTACTTGTGGAATCACCTTAGCAGAAAATTTAACAAAGACATAAGCCACATAATCATATATGAAGCCCAATGAAAGTCAACACTAGTGCAAACCTCTTTATTAACTTGAGGGATAAAACCAAATGAATACCTTCTTGTATTGCTTCTTGTACTTTTTCAGAATCTGCAGAAAGATACAAGTTGGTAAGATATGCCTTCAAATAGCCAATGGGGCTTTTTCCACCAGTCAGACAGAAGCGGTCAATTAATAAGCCTATTATTGGGCAAGAAAGACTGTGTTATGTCAGAGACTAAAGACAATATACTTACTGTAAATGTAAACCAAAGCTATCTTAGGAATAATTGAATGCTTATTGAAGTTTTAGAATTACCTTTGTAGCACTAATATTGAAAAATTGCTATGTTATATATGAAAAAGCTATTTTTTATTAAGTATGTCTACATATACCATGCCAATTTGCTCTCACAACAATTGTATGATAGGCATTATTTTCATCATTACAGAAAAGGAAACTGAGACATAAAGACTTGTCTAAGCCCACTGATTCACACTCACTCTTGTCTAGACTAGACAGAGTTCTTTTAATTCAACCGTAGGCTATTCATTTGTTGAAAGAGATAGTTAATGTGACTCTATTTTAAGTACCATTTCTGTATGTCTTCAGGAACAGTATAATAGTAATGACAAGCAGTGTTAGGATTTAAACTGTTTTCTAAAAACAACCACAGGTCTGAAATTGTTTCTTTCTTGACTTGAAATTGTATTTATTTATTTATTTTTAAAGATTTATTTGAAAGAGGGAGAAAGCAACCATGAGCAGTGGGGTGGGGGAGGGGCAGAGGGAAAGGGAGAGAGAGAGAGAGAATCCTCAGGCAGACTCCTAGCTTGAGTCAGGGCTTGATCCCGTGACCCCCAAATCATGACCAGAGCCAAAACCAAGAGCTGGCTGCTTAACCAACTGAGCCACCCAGGTGTCCCTTGACTTGAAATTTTAAATGTAATTATTTAGGAGACTAAATATTAAAATACCATTAAATGTCTTTCAAATCAACAACAATTAAAAAACAAATGCTAGATATTGGTGAAAGTTTTATAAAATAGTCACCCATTTTCACTTTAGATGAAAGTATAAATTGGTACAAACTACCTAGAAAGTAATTTGACAATATGTATCAAGAAATGTAACTGTTTATACCTTTTGACCTTTTTGTTAGTTTTATTCTAAAGGAATAATCTGAAACTGATAAAGATTTATGTGGAAAGGTCTCAGTTCAGGATAATTTATAAAAGCAGAACACTGTTTAATGATTTGAGAGCAGTTAAATATAAGTATAACATTATGCATATAAATAGTATATACCCATTCAAAGTGTTTTTGGATTCATAATAAACTGGGTAGCTGCACATGATATAAAGCAGAATTTTGAGTCTAGTCAGTTGTTTTTCCTCTGTATGGACCCACAGAGTAGATAGGGTCCATCGACAATTGGGGTGGAAGTGTTTGCTATGGTATTAACGAAATACTCTCAGTTTTTCACTAAAGCCAACATTGGACATAAGTGGCACAAAAGTGTATTCCACAAACCTTAAATAATATTATAAATTAATATTAATATATGATCAGAAATTATTTGGTGGCATTGGGGACTTCAGAAAGAGTTAAAACATCTTCCCCCTTCTTTTTTTTTTTTTTTTAAAGATTTTTTTATTTATTTATTTGACAGAGAGAGACAGCGAGAGCAGGAACACAAGCAGGGGGAGTGGGAGAAGGAGAAGCAGGCCTCCCGCTGAGCAGGGAGCCCGATGCGGGGCTCGATTCCAGGACCCCGAGATCATGACCCGAGCCGAAGGCAGACGCTCAACGACTGAGCCACCCAGGCGCCCCAACATCTTCCCCCTTCTTAAGGAGATCACAGTCCACTGAGCAGTCAGGCATGTTAAACAGAATGATAATGTAACAGGCCACAGCAGAGGGAGATACAAATTGCCTTCAACACCCAGAGAAGGGAAGCAACCAACTAACTCTTCCAGGTGAAAGGCTGTTATTCCATGAATAAGGCTGCATGAGAAGATGGAGCTCAATCAACTCATTAGCAGAATTGATAGGTAGATAACTATGCTTCCTTATGCTGCTAGCCTTGTTGGGCTCAGTTTGGTGAGGGATAGATAGACCTAAGTTACCTACTAAATTGTGCAAGATTGTGTGTTGTAAAATATAATAGCTGCTGTTTACCGAGTGATTATCTACTCATCTATACTAAACCTTTCATCTGTGTTCTCTTTCCATGTCATAATACTATGAAAAGTTGCTTTTTTTTGAAAGACAAACCTTTTTTTAAAAATATGTCTCAGACATCAGCCTTTTTTTAATTTTAAAAGATTTTATTTATTTATTTGACAGAGAGAGAGAGAACACAAGCAGGAGGAGCGGTAGAGGGAGAGGGAGAAGCAGGCTTTCTGCTCAGGACTTAATCTCAGGGCCCTGGGATCATGACGTGAGCCAAAGGCAGATGCCTAACTGACTGAGCCATTCAGGTGCCCCTTAGACATAAGCTTTATAATTAGGATAATGTAAAACTCATAAGTTGTAATACATCTTGTTTATTTATAACCATGCCCACTTTAAACCTTGAATTTAAATATGCCAAAGTTCAACCTTACTTTGACTTGACATACTCATAAGCCTGGATAGGTCACTTAGAAAATAATCTAAAGGTCCCCAAATAACAAGTCATGTAATTCCATAACAGGAAATTGGGAATTTTCTCTTAAAGAATCCAACACACTGATGGAAATGCTATGAGGAGACTAGAGTCAGTCAAAATTTCCATGTAAAGGAACAAAGACAGTTTTGCTGACATGGGTGTGGATTTGATGTATAAGGGAGAGCGGTCAGGGAGAATCAGATTGTAAGAGTGGAAAGGAAAGGTGAAAACCCATAAACCTTAAACACAGATCTGTGGTGAGCAAGAAGTTTGATCACACAGAGAAAGCCTCTGGGTGGATGGGTTCTTGAAGTCAAGTTCAGAAGTGAAAAACATAAAACAGAGAAGCATATTGCAGGAGCTGGGATTAAGACTTTGAAATTCACACTTGACAAGTTAAGTCCGGAGCTTTGGGCCCAACTCTGTGCTAAAGTTAAAAATGAACATGGCCTCTCTTTCTCTGACATGGGCAAATAAACATTCCTCAGGCAGAAGGGGGTGTCAGTATCAAAGACACTGCATTAGTTAGGCCACAGTCAGCAAAATAACATGGCTTCTCTCTCCCAGAGCAGCAAGCTGTTCTTCCACATGGTATTTATTTTACTTACCATAGTGATTGACGCTGTTTATAAGCCGCACTCCCACTTGGGCATGGTTATTAGTCATCAGTACAATATCAAATAAGTCCTGTTCATTAGGATACAGCTCACGGAGTCTAGCATTGACATGCTGCAGTGCCTGCAGGTTACAAACATAAGCGCATGTAAAGAGGACCAGGCAAGGTGACTGTTGGAGTCTGGAGTCTGGAGAGAAACGACATCATTGGTGTCAAATTCAAACTCTGGAGACTCTTCACTGAGAGACTATGGCTCTTTTAAGGCAGGGTTATGCCATTCATTTCTCTATTTCCAGCCTCTTTTATACAGGACCTCGTTAATGTTTGCTGAATGGCTAGGCAATGTTTGTTGAAAATTGTTATGACATTTGGTTTTCTAGAATTCTCTCTGTGGGGCAGGTAGAGAGAAGGATCAGGCCAACACTTTCAAGCTTGTCTTTTTTTTTTTTTTTTGATTCCTAAAATCTGCTTTTCTTTTCTTGATCATTGGGTGACTATTATTTATTGTGAAAATATAGAATATAGAATGCTTCGTGAATTAGCATGTTATCCTTGCACAGGAGTCATGCTAATGGTCTCTGTATTGTTCCAATTTTAGGATATGTGCTACCAATGCACTTTGTCTATTTTTTAAATATGAGTCTTTAGAATAGGTTAGCGGCTTCCTCCCATGCTTCTACCATGCCCCATAAGTACTTTGTACTTACAACTTGTAGGTGTCATTTTTTTTCTGCCTGGTTGTTATTTGTATAAGTTATATAGGGTATCAGTGTTACAAGTGCTATACATTTCTGTGTAAGTTCAGAGAACCTTACTTTTTCTATTAAAATCATGCCCCCCCCAATGCCAATCAAGATCATCTTGACCTTCTTAACATGTTATGTTTGGGGCAAAAGCAGCTCAAGTAAATTCCATCTCATTTTAATGAGGCATTTAGTTTCTACTGCTGGGATTGTAAACTCATTATTACTTCCAGTTACCACTCCTAGGAAGGGAACAAAGGTGTTTCTTACAGGTGTCATGATTAGAACTCCACTGAGTGCCTTCTCAACACCCCAAATCTAGAACTGGAGGCCCTTCCTCACCACTCTGGGAGCCTCTGTGGAAGCATAAGCTGACCTGAGGTCAATTTGAAAAGGGCAAGAATTACAATGGAGGGATCGGGAAATATAAGGGAAACTGGATGAGATCCCAAGGGTCTGCCTGGGTCCTTCCGTCTCCATCCAGGGTCCTGACATTCCAAACACAGTTTTGCAGGGTACCTTAACAAAATGGAACGCGGGCCCTGGGGTCAGGATGACATTTTCGTTGTTGAGTTGATATTCCATGTACTTTTCTAGACCCTCTTCCTCATAGATTTTCCTGCCGTCCACCATGTTGAAAAGCGCCCGAGATGACACAGCGATGGTGATGGCATTCTTGGGTTTGGGCTGCAGAGAGGGGCGCCAATGGGAGGAGAGTCAGTCACACAGACCAAAGGGATCAGAAAAGGGGCTCATCAGGGCAAGGTGGGAAGAAAACATCTAGGCCCCGCTTGGAGCACTGTGATGCTGGAGACAGCCAAGGGCTGGTATTCCCTCCCAACTCCTGAAGCTGCAGGGGTAGGGGAGAAGCAGGGGTCTGGTCAGGACTTCACTACACATTGGAGAGAAGGGAGACTCAGGTTTGCAGGGTTGCACGGAGGGGAGTTTCCAGTACCAGGTCGGTGGGCCCTGCTCACCGGTCGGGGGCGGGAGCAGCTCGGGATCTTCTCATACAGAGTTTTCACGGAGGCCCAGTAGGCTTCCTCGTCATCCTCCTCTTCCTCCCGTTGCTGATGCTGCCGAGGCAGTTCCGACAGACAGTCCCGGTCTAGCTGGGAGTAGGTCCATCTGCGCTGGCTATAGGGCTTCCATTCGGTGGGGGGCGTGCGCGGGTAATCCCGTTGCTGCGTGGAGTCCCGGATATCCCGCACGATGCCGTGAGCCCAGGCTTCGGGATTCTCATGCATCTTGGTGCTGCGCCGGGAAGAGCTATAGGGCTCTGGCGGGGTGGGAGGACGCGAGTCGAGAGGCATGGGTGGAGTGGAAGGCAAAGGTGGCGTGGGCGGCGAGGGCTGCTCTGACAGCTGCTTCAGGGACTCTTGCTGGCTGGGGGAGGTGGATGAAGTCCGGGAGGTCGTGGAGCTACTGGGGAGCTGGAGCAAGAAAGTGGGAGTCTGAGTTAGATGCTCACCTGTCCCCATCTCTGTCCAGCAGGCGTCAAGAAGCCTTCCCCTTCCCTGTGTTCCATTCTTAGCCCTTAGTTGGATCCTGGTTCATCATAGCTCCTTTCAGTAGGACTCGAAGGGGCTCAGATGTTTCAGGGCCCCAGTTACTGGATATTTCTGTTACACGGACACAGAGATAGACCTATTTTATTTTCCCCTACCTTTCCCCATCAGCACCTCGCATTTTTTTTTTTTCTGGAGTTGATAGGGCACAGGTATTCTTCCTTGCCCTTAGGCAGCTGGCCTGTAGTTTGCAAAGCACTGTTGCTTGCTTCCCTTATACTTGCTCAGAGACCTCCAGGCAGGATGGAGGGCTTGAGTAAAGGTCCTTGCTTACTACTGCCTTCATCTGTGACCTCCAGTTAACTCTATGAACAACTAGACCAGATGTTCCCACCATCAGACTCTACAAAACACCTGGAGGTATCTCTTTCTACATTTCTCCTGTGATTAATGCAGTGATTGCTGGGAAGGTTGGTAGACTGGAGAACCAAGTATCTTCCCATTGCCTTCAGAACTCTGTGTGCCAGTGGAGCTCATTTGGAGAGAATCCTCTTCCTAAATAAAAAGGAAGGATTCTAGAGAAAAATACCTTTACTAAGGTGTGCAATAAATTATTAGGCACCTATATTTCAGTTTTTATGATTGTTTCATGTATTTCAAAAGGCATATTCTTGGTTAGACTATTGAGCCACTTTTCACAGAGATACGTGTTCTCCCAGTGGTGAGGTCTGTGTCACTCTCTCTCTGCATCCAAAAACTTAATCTCAAAACTAACATTTTCCTCTCATGGGGCCAGGCCTAGTTAAGGGACCAAAGCACCACACAATCTAATATTTTTCAACAATTTATCTACTTGGTTGATTTTTCCACCCCTTCTTCTTCTTCTTTTTTTTAGTTTAAATCCAATTAATTAACATATAGTATATTATTAGTTTCAGAGATAGAGTTCAGTGATTCATCAGTCTTATATAATACCCAGTGCTCATTACATCATGAGCCCTCCTTAATGTCCATCATCCAGTTATCCCAGCCCCCTACTCTCCTCCCCTCCAGCAACCCTCCGTTTGTTTCCTATGATTAAGAGTCTCTTATGGTTTGTCTCCCTCTCGGATCTCATCTTGTTTTATTTTTCCCTCCCTTCCCCTATGATCCTGTTTTGTTTCTTAAATTCCACATATGAGTGAGATCATATGATAATTGTCTCTCTCTAATTGACTTATTCTGCTTAGCATAATACCCTTTAGTTCTATCCATGTCATTGAGAATGGCAAGATTTCTTTTTTTTTTTTTTTTGATGGTTGAGTAGTATTCTGTTGTATATATATATACCACATTTTCTTTATCCATTCATCTGTTGATGGACATCTGGGCTCTTTCCATAGTTTGGCTATTGTGGACATTGCTGCTATAAACATGGTCCATCCTGTCTTCTAAGGCTTGATTACTCAGTAAATAGTTGTTGAATAAATGAAGGACGGAGAAGTCAAAGGGCTTAATCATTAAGTTAGTGTACAACTTATAGATTTAGTGACCCTGGGTTTTAATTTACCTCAATTAGTGTTATTAATGTGAGATCTTAGGCAAATTACTCCGTGTTTCAATTTTCTCAACTGTAGAATGGGGCTTATGGGTTTGTCTTTTTGTTTGTTTTAATGATGACTGATTTAGGTAAAACATGTAAAGTACATAGAACAGGGCCTAGGCACATAGAAAGCATCAATAAATGTTTATTATTATTATCATTATGATCATCATTATTATATCATGTTCTCCTTCATTTCATCTCCCATCTCTACCTTAAGACTGGTGCTCTTTCTTCTGGGTTCGTCTATTGATGGACCTCTTGTGGATGGGCTTCGTGAAGTTCGGGACCACTGATTTCGCACAAGGTACCCTCGAGAATCAGTCTTTGGCAATGATAATTCCTGTGATCCCTTGGGAGGAAAGAAGAGACCCAGGGGTGTAATACCCCACCACCCACTCCTGCCATGCCTGTGCCTACAAAACAACCGTTTCAAGCTGAACATAGCAGAACCCAATGAGAAGGTCCCTGTCCTATACGACCTTAATTCAACATTGACCCTTATGTACTATTCTAGCTCTGGCGCAATCCTAAATTCTGTAATGAGCAAAAAGTGGAGATCCACCTGGAGGAGAATCCAAAACTAAGAAATAAATCTGATATCTCATATTTTTTCACCTGTGACCCTTCTTTTATGGAACATGGTAGAGTTGACCATTTTTCTGACTTTTTCCCCACTTCCCTTAAGGTTAAGCCTGTTAGCTGAAGCTAAGATGACATATTTACCATTTTTTAGCACACTACAAAGATGAGAGCAGCCACCACCAAAGTGAAGCTGCACCAGGGCTCCCAAGCAGCTGCCTAAGGGGGAGTAGAGCACTCTAGCATTTTCTTTGGGAGGAATCAGACTGGAAGACACTATGGAGAGGCAAGTGGAAGTTTCTATTCCCCATATCCTTCCCCTCACCCAGATTGCCTGCGGTTCCCCTCCAAAATCAGTAGTTTGATCTCTGCTCACCCTGATCATGGTGATCTGCTGGCCCTGCTCCCACAACAGGCACATGTGAATATAAATACGTATTGTGTGGCAGGGGCCAAGAGGTACTGTTCCCTCAGCTGCACAAAGGCAGCGTCTACACGACGAGTGACCTCGCATGGGGCAACATCTCAGCAAGTGATTCGGATTGACTGCACGCCTCATCTGAAAGATTGTGCAGAAAATGATCAATGCGATGGCCAGACTCCCCTTCCCTCCCTGATCTGAACAAAGACCAGTCTCCTCCCATAGGCTGAGCAGAGAAGATGACTGTGGGGATGTATACTGGTGGGGAAGGCAGGGACCAGCTTCTCCTGGTTTGTCCTTAACCTCTCCATGAGGACATTAGGTATCCCTTAATAGAAATCTTGGCAGCTCAGTCTTCTCTCCCAGAACTTTCCTGCCCCCTTAAATTTTCTGTTGTGCTTTCTCCTCTTTAATTCTCTTGCCAACTCTAAAGAGGTCAGCTCACCTGAGTGCTCAGACGAACTCCTGATTTCTCAGAATCCTTTCTTTTCTCTGTGTCTAGGCTGTCTTTTGAGTTCCTCGATCCAGTCTCATTCTTAATATGGAAATAAAGAATGTTTATTAATTAATCTCAGGAGGATTAGAAACCTTGAGTTTGGGAATAAAATGATGAATAAAAATTAGAATTTGTCTTTTTGCCAATGTAAAAAAGAAAATATATATATATATAAAATCTAGACATTTTCCCTCTGTTCTACAGACATTAATAAAAATAACACATATCAGAGAACTATACAAACAGTTTTTTTAAAGATTTTATTTATTTATGTGACAGAGAGAGACACAGTGAGAGAGGGAACACAAGCAGGGGGAGTGGGAGAGGGAGAAGCAGGCTTCCTGCAGAGCAGGGAGCCCAATGCGGGGCTCGATCCCAGGATGCTGGGATCATGACCTGAGCCGAAGGCAGATGCTTAACGACTGAGCCACCCAGGTGCCCCTAAATAATTTTTAATATAGAAATTTGTTGGTTTATAGATTTAAGGCATGAGGCATCTATCATTAAAAAAAAAAAACGATATCAGGCGAAATGCAATGGGAAAATTTTCCAGAGCTCAGCAGGATTTCGATTTAAATGTGAAATTGCTCACACAGAATAACTTTTATTTTCTCTACTGCTCTGAAGGTTGATACTTAAGGAACTTTTCCTTTAGCCATGTAGAATTGAAACTTTTGTTTATTTTCTTAATAAACCCTAACTCCAATCTTCTGTGGATCTAAGTCTCACCAATATTAGCTTGATTTTTAAAATCAAGGTTCTTAATCCTGTGCAGATCCATTGACAGTCCTGCCTTCTGTGTATATTTTCTAATTATTCATACCAGCTAGAGTGAAAGGAGGTTTCTCATGAATAAACTAATAGGGAAGACTATGTAGGAAGGCACAGGGAGATGATTCGTGTCATGGACACTATTCAAATACGTTCATTTTCGATTGTGGGAAATACCATTGTATTGGAGCATTATTTGTATTGTTTCATGCTAATTCGGTAGCTGTATTGCGATCAAGATTAGTGTTATTTCTCTGTTTTAAGAACTCATCTTCTCGCTTAGACCAATGTGCTCAGGAGCAGTCTGTGCATAATACTCTTTTTGTATTAGTGTTCGCTGGATGATTGAGTCTATGACTGCAGAGCTGTGTGGTCCTAGAACTAGATCCTAAAATCCTTCCAGCCACTCCCTACATCCCTAACCATAAAATCCTGTCACTTATAACTGCAAAAGAGATTTGAAACTTAGTCCCTTTTCTCCATCCCTATTATCATTGCCTTGTTCCAGATCTCAGATCATTATGGGCCTGCATTCTTAGAATTGTAGACTTTTGATTAGATTTCATAACCTCATATCCTCCCAACTTCTAGATCCATCAACCCCATCTATTTAAAGTGATATTTATAAAACATAAATATAATTATGCTTCGTTTCTGGGTACTGGTTTTACAGACCAAGGGTCTCATGGTGTATCCTGTCTACTTCCAACTTGCCCTCCACGGTACACTTTTATCTCTATGTTCGCCTGTGCTAAATGCCTGTATTTGCCTACACATCACCCTATTTCCTTCTAACCTCCTCTTCTCTTTAATGTTCTTCAAAATCCAGCTCAGTATGACCTGGGAGAAGTTCCCAGAGTTAAACATTCCTTTGTGTTGCCTGTGTCTTTTGTACATACTTTTACTGAGCACTGAATTGTACTTTATGTATTCTCTTTCCTACTAGGTTGTGCATTCTCCAAAGATAGCAAGAGTGTTTTCACCTCTTGCCACTAACATATGAGCATACAAATGCTGAATTATTAGATTGACTGATTCTGAATGCTTTAATCTCATTTTTCTCCATTCTTCATATTCTTTATTTTCCTTCCCTTTACTCCACATGTAGTCATTATCTGAAGTGATTTAATTGTTGCAGAACATTCTCAGAGGTAATGGTATCTACATTTGTTGATGTCTACATTTCCTTAGCTCTTTGGCAAGATTCTAGGACATTCAATTCACTCACCTTCTTTTTCTGTTTCAAAGATGTTTGACTCATTTCTTTTAAGTCCTGAATTTCTTTTGTTGTTATGCAGGTTTTCCTCTCCCCAGCTCCATTTCCTGTTGTTTCTGTTGCTCTGCCTAGGTTTGCATTTAGAATGTCAAATTTATGACATCATATGTGATTCCATAGTAACAAACTGACTCCGAATATGTGACTATAAAAAAAAAGCAATAGTATTTCTTCATATTTGAGTATATCCACTCATAACCATTCTTAGAGTTTTTAGGAAATGATGTCTAAACAATGTTAAAATGTTTAATATGAAGCAATATCAATATTACTGCTTCTTTCTTTTTAAACATTACTATATTACTCATTATATAAACCCCACTGTGGCTGTACATTTTCTGGCAGTGCCAAAATGAATGGTAAACTCATTTGTGGACCCAATCATTTATTATTGTTCATCCCGACAGATTTTGGAGAACTTTTTGCAATCTGCGGACTATTTTTGACAGCTGAGATTTCATTCTAGACATGAAGTTTAGACTTGTTTTTAGCTTTAACGTTGGATGTTTCTTTCACAATGCCAAGGCCATTTCTATGTCACAAATTCAGAACATTCTCCCTATGGCCAGATACAGTGTAGTAGAATGATACTTTCACTGCCTTTCTTGCCATTTGCCCCATCCTTGAACTTTTAAACACACATTTGTCCCTCTTCTATACACACAGAAAATATGTAAAATCCAGCCCCCAACTCTGATTTACAGGGTCTATTAATGTAATACATTTTATGGCTCTGATTTTATCTTCACCCAAGCTTTAGATAAGAGACTCACATACAAGCCTGAGTTGGTCAAACCATCACAAACTAAGGCAGATTTCCACCTCTCTTAATTGGAGTTGATAACTTTGTTTGAAAATTAGAAGTTTTTGACAGCTTTAAGCAAAGTTCTCCAAGGGGTCTTCCAGAAAGTGAAACATGCAGGCTCAAGTTTAGAGGACCTGGGTTTGAATTCTTTCTCCACTGGACCCCTGCATCCAAACCCTGCCAGTATCTCACTGTGATCCTGAACAAGTGTGTTTAATCTTCCTAAATCTCAATTTCCATATTTACAACATGGAGAAAATGATGGTATCGACATCAAATGGTAGTTGTGATGGTTGAACTAGTATGAAGTACTTAAGACAGTGCCTGGTATTTATAAGTGATTAATAAATATTAGCTATTACTGTTTTATTCATAATTCTGCTGTATCTATACTAGGGAGTTCAAATAGAAATTTCCAATCTCCAATGCAATCTGGTTATAGGAACAGAAGTTTAAAAATACTTATTGTTCATATACATATATAATCAATCAAATGTCAGTTTGGTGATTCTTCCCATATCCTAAACTCTAGGCCTACTTGTGGAGAAAGCAAGGAGGGCAGACTGGAAGCGGGAAGTTAGAGTAGCAGTTAGCAACAAAAGCTGGAGAGCTCTGAGACTTGAGTTCTATAAAACACAGGAAGAAGATTTTGCAGAGATGAGGGAATGAAAGGGTCTTTGGTTTCTGACTGGTCCTTCTAGTGTACAGCCAAGTTTGGCTTTTGCTTCTGGTCTTTCCATGACTCTTCCATGTAAATCAGCATCCATATATTCAATAAGTTCCTTGATTATTGGTTTTTTCCCATAACACACAGCCTAGGATAGAATATGAGCCTCATGAGTGTTTTGAATTATTTTATGTACTGAGATTTAAATATATCATTTTGTTCTGAGTGCTGAGGTTGATATTAAATTTGTATTTTTTTCAGATTTCCTGATTTTTCTTCATTATCTTCTGATTATTAACTTTGTTGTTGAGCACTGAAAACTACACATACATGTAGGCTGCTGTGTTAGGGTTCTCTAGAGAAACAAAACCAATAGGAGATATATAGCTATATAAGAAGTCATTTATTATGGGAACTGATTCATGTGATTGTGAAGGCCAGGAAGTCACACAATATGCCCTAAGTCAGCTGAAGAACCAGGAAAACCAGTGATATGAGTGAGTCTGAGTCTGAAGGCCTGAAAACTAGGAGAGCCAATGGTGAACTCCCAATCCAAGGTCAAAGGCCTGAAAACCCGAGGGACCACTGGTTTATACCCCAGGGTCTGAAGGTCTGAGTATCAAGACCTCTGATGTCTAAGGGCACGAGGAGAAGATGGATGTTTTATCTCAAGAAGAGAGAGAGAATTCACCTTTCCTCCACCTTTTTTGCTCTGTTTGAACCCTCAGTGGGTTGGATGATGTCTATCCATCTTGGTGAGGGTCAATCTTCTTTACCAGTCTACTGATTCAGATGCTAATCTCTTCCAGAAACATCCTCATATACACACCTCAAATAATGTTTAACCAGCTGTCTGAGCATCCCTTAGCCCAGTCCAGTTGTTACATAAAATTAACCATCACAGCAACATATCTTCCGTTGTCTTGGATTTGTTTCTCCATGAATTCAACCTTGGTAATAAAGCGAAGATACTGCAAAGTTCTGACATTGTCCTGCACCTTTCCCAGATCACCCAAAATTGGTTTTTATAATGAAATTTTCATTGTCAGTTCTAGCTGTGGATAAAATTTTTGTTTTAAAAAGAGGTCCATAAAAGACTTAAAAGACACTGTAGAATACCACAAACATGTCTAAATAGGCATTCTCACCTATTTTTGGCAAATGTGTTTTGATTCTTGCCATAGTTACTGAGAGGAATATGCCTATTCCCTTGACAGAGCTAAGAGGACATGGCACAGTCATTTGTGGGACATGATTCCTACTTGGTCATCCTTCTGCTATTTCTTATTTTCTTGTGAGGTTGTGATATTATGCAAAATTTCTGGGGACACTAGTAAACTCTCCTTTAGCCAGATTTTCATAATGTAGGATGCATATTGAGTAATACAACTAGGCACCAGTATAGTGGGAAGACTATCTTCACCATGTCCACCCTGATCTATTGAAATTAATATTGTGGAAAGTGGCTCTATTGCCTTCATAGCTTTTCTTCTCTGAGGGTGAAGACACAAAAGTCACTAACATGTCAGAATGTCAACATTTACTAATATTTTAAAATGTTTATATGTATGTAGATAGGTAGGTTCAAAGATAATGAAATTTAGTGAAAATTAGGAAGTTCAGAAAAAGAAGGCATCTGTGAACTCAGTATCCTGATAGTCATAATTACAATTATATTCTTCCAAAGTTCTCTCATCCATTTGTTTGAAGTTTAATTTTTCTTCCTTTGTAAAATATTATTAGAATTATATAGTATATATAACTCAGTATCTTGATTTTTTTTTCTATGTAATATTAGACACAGGTATTTTCATGCTATTACTTGGTCTGAGTAATCATTAATTTAATGACTCCATATGCTCTAGATTGGGTCTGCTGCAATTTACATAAGTATTTCCCTACTATTGAATATTTGGAGTATCTCCAGGATTTTTCTCTTATGAATAATATTTTCCTGAGTATCTTCTTTCTCAGCTAAAATAAGGTTCCTTAGTATAAAATCTTTCCACAGTGACCAGTAGATTCAAACATGTAGTTGGATGGGCCCATCAGAATCCAAGTGCTTATGTTAGAGCTGTGTTCAAGAGGGCTACATCAGGTTGGCTGGGCTGGAATCAGATGGTATTTATTTTGACCTGACTTTGTTTATTGTCTCCTGTGGCCTCACTGTCCTGAAAGTTATTTATGAGCAGGGACCTGTATACCTTTTCCAATGTTGTCTTCATGGTGCCTAGAACAGTTACTAGGAGGTACTGTAATAAATATTTCTTAAATAAATACATCAATCCCTTAAGAAATGCATAGCAACCATAAGCAGGATACAGAGTAGTGTGTTAACAGTAGTGGTGAAGATGAAAGGAAGTGGTTTCCCATACCTCTGAGAAGACCCATAAGATCAGTGAGTAAGAAGTGGAAGTAGAAAAATGCCTTCTTTCTTCCCTATCTTTTTAAGTTCTTTGTCTAGAGATCAGTGGTTCTCAAAAACAAACATGCATCAGAATTGCCTGGATGGCTTGTTGAAGGTGAATGGTTACACAAACATCCCTACTACTCAGCAATACAAAGAAACAAATGGTTGATTCACACAACCTGGATGACTCTCCAGAGAATTATACTGAGTGAAAAAAGCCAATCCCCAAAAGTTATATTCTGTTTGATTCCATTTATATAACATTGTTGAATGATAAAGTTATAGAAATGGGGACAAAAGTGGCCAGGGTTTCAGAAGCAGATGAGGGCAAGAGGGAATTGGATATGGTTACAAAAGGGCAACATGAGAGATCCTTATGATGGTGGAAGAACTCTGTATGTTTTTTATTAACATATAATGTCTGTTTCAGGGTAACAGGTCTATGATTCATCAGTCTTACACAATTCACAGCACTCACCATAACACATACCCTCCCCAATTCCATCACCCAGCTACCCCATCCCTCCCAGCCCCCTCAAATCCAGCAACCCTCAGTTTGTTTCCTGAGATTAAGAGTCTCTTATGGTTTGTCTCCCTCTCTGGTTTCGTCTTGTTTCATATTTCCCTCCCTTCCCCTATGATTCTTTGCCTTGTTTCTCAAATTCCACACATTAGTGAGATCATATGATAATTATCTTTCTCTGATTGACTTATTTCACTTAGCATAATACCTTCTAGTTCCATCCACGTTGTTGCAAATGGCAAGATTTCAATTTTTTGATGGCTGCATAATATTCCATTTTGTGTGTGTGTGTGTGTGTGTGTGTGTGTGTACCACATCTTCTTTATTCATTCATCTGTTGATGGACATTTAGGTTCTTTCCATAGTTTGTCTATTGTGGACATTGCTGCTATAATTGGGGTGCACATGCCCCTTCGGATCACTACATTTGTATCTCTGGTGTAAGTTGAACCCAGTTGAACTCTGTATTTTTAACTTGATTGTATCAATGTTGATATCCTGGCTGTGATACTGTACTACAGTTTTGCAAGATGTTGCCATTGGGATCTATTGGGCAAAGGGTGATGGGATTGTTCTGTAT